GCATTCGCATGTCACTTTTGTAGATGGCGTTGCAAGGTATTCACATGCCAGATATGCTAAACATTTGTATGCCCCTTCATGCTTCGGCCACCATTCCAGAGGACATGCTTCCATGCTGATGATGCTCATTAAAAAAATAATGCGTCAATTAAATTTGTGACTGTACTCCTTGGGGGGAGAATTGTATGTCTCCTGCTCTGTTTTACCCACATTCTGCATATAATTCATGTTCTAGCAGTCTCGGATGATGACCCTGCACATGTTCATTTTAAGAACACTTTCACAGCAGATTTAACAAAACGCAAAGAAGGCACAGATGTGAGATTCCTAAAAATAGCTACACACTCGACCCAAGGTTTAAGAATCTGAAGTGCCGTCCAAAATCTGAGAGGGACGAGGTGTGGAGCATGCTTTCAGAAGTCTTAAAAGAACAACACTCTAATGAGGAAACTACAGAACCCGAACCACCAAAAAAGAAAATCAATCTTCTGCTGGTGGCATCTGACTCAGTTGATGAAAATGAACATGCATCAGTCCACGCTGCTTTGGATCATTATCAAGCGGAACCCATCATCAGCATGGAAGCATGTCCTCTGGAATGGTGGTTGAAGCATGAAGGGACATATGAATCTTTAGTGCATCTGGCACATAAATATCTTGCAATGCCAGCTACAACAGTGCCATGCGAACGCCTGTTCTCACTTTCAGGTGACATTGTAAACAAGAAGCAAGTAGGACTGAGTGGATTTGTAGTCTCTAAAGTTTTACATTGTTTTATTTTTGAATGCAGTTTTTTTTGTACATAATTCTACATTTGTAAGTTCAACTTTCATGATAAAGAGATTGCAGTACAGTACTTGTCTGAGGTGAATTGAAAAATACATTTTTTTGTTTTTTACAGTGCAAATATTTGTAATAAAAAATAAATAATCTGTGTTGTAATTGAAATTAATATATTTGAAAATGTAGTAAACATCCAAAAACATTTAAAATAAATGGTATTCTATTGTTTAACAGTGCGATTAATTGCGCGATTAATTTTTTTAATCATGCAATTAATCGCTTGACAGCCCTAGTATATACCCTACGCTGCTCTCTCTGTGACCAAGCAGTGCCCCCCATGTCTACACTGCTATTTTTAGTCTTCTGCTTCCTGTAGTCTCCTGCTTCCTCCCCACTGCTGGAGCCTTTCTCTGCCTCAGTGAAAGGCTCTGGCAGCGGGGAAAAGGCTTGGGCATTTCCCCACTGCCTCCCCTCCCCCCCAGAGCCATTCACTGAAGGGTAGCTATACACCTCAGTGGTGGTGACATGTAGTGTAGACATACCTTAAGTGTCATCGATTTCAGAAAGGTGAAATTCACCCGAAGTCCCTAATTTACTGCCCCAGGGGTGTAGATGGCTTCTGACTGCTAATCCAGCTCCTAGGCTAGAGTAGCAGCCCTGGGGGATGGGGAGGTGCACTGCACTTGGCCATGTGTTGGGTAGATTTTGCAGGCACACATACTAACCCTTGCTTACTCTGGGCCCTGTTGTGGCTTTAGGAGAGACACAGAGTTATACTGTCACAGTAGAAGCCCTGGGGGCCATTTGGTTACAGGGAGGCACAATGGTGCTAGAGTTCCCCAGTGCTCATGGAGAGTGCGTGTTGATGCGCCCTTTAAAGGGAGGCAACCTAGGCTCTCACTTGTGCAGTGGGTCAGCTGCATGGGGGACATGACTCCCAGCTCCTACCTGCCCTCTTGGGAGAGACTAGACTCTCTCAGGAAGTGTTAGCAGAGGGCATTTCCTGTGCTCAGGAGGGTACAGGGTATGCTACTGTGGCCCGTGTATTGGGGGGCAAGGTGGGAGGGCCTTCCTGTGGACTTCCCTTGCTTGATCTCACAAAGGAGACAACCTATAATAGGGCCCGTTAGCTGCATTACTTTATTCAGGCCAAGTGTATTTCACCCTTACTAATCTTCATACAGGTAAAATACAGGCAATTAAATGTAGTACAGTACTTTTTTTCTAGCATTGCTAGAATATTATTTATTTCCAAGGTAAAACCTAATTAGCAGAATTAATGGGATCCTCCACTAGCACAGAATAATTTTGGAATTGTACTACCTGCAGAGTACTTAGAATCAAAGTAGTTCACAAATGTCTCATGTTTTCTTCTCAACAGTGCCAGTGGTATTGAAAGCTGTCAAAAATCAAAGCAGTTGGTTTCTAGGGCTTATTTCCACTTTCCAGTGAAAGTAGAGATCCTTTTCTCTTTTTTTGGTTTAATAAAATACAAATATTTAAAACAAAAACAGAATGGCAAGGGATTTAATCAATAGTCATCTGATTTTTGCAACGATTACATAATCTTCAAATAACAAAGACAGTCGGATTGATATCCACAAGATCAACGGATATTTTTATTCTGTGAAAGGAAATATCTGCTGTCATGAAATCATAGGCTATCTCTACTGAACGGGTAAATTATCAGTAAAGATGGAAGAAAATGCAATTTTCATTCCCTTAAATGTTCCCGCTCCACCCATTTTTTACAAAGGTATTTTAATAAAACGCAAAGGTCAATGAGTAAATATATACAGTAGCTCAATCTGCAAATTATGCAAATCAACACCAATCAAATAGGCTATAGAAACCTTATGATCTGTGAAGTTTGCAACATTATTGGCAAAGTGCTATGCAGGAGTTGTTCAGAGCTAGGAATCAGAAATTGGAAAAACTCACTTGACAAGCTACTTCCTTAGGGTCAGAGTCTCAGCTCAGATAAAACAATGGAACTGTTTCAGTTTATGCCATCTGAAGATCTGTCTTGAACTTTTAAATCTATATTAGTAATCTGGGAATAAAAAACCGTGATCCTCTGCCGCCTGAGCTAAAAGACCCAGGTCTGTTAGGGTATGTTTACACGCCATTCAAAGGTGTGATTTGCAGCTCAGGTAGGCACAATTTGCTAGCTTTAATCTAGCTAGCATGCTAAAAATAGCAGTGAAGATGTGGCTGGGCAGGTTTCGGCGTGGCCCATGCAAGCCCACCTGGTCCCCTGGGTACACGTACTCATGTTCCTAGGCTGCACTGCAGCCTGTGCAGCCATATCTTCATGTCTATTTTCTGTCATGCTCACTAGATTAAAGCTATCATGAGTGTGCCTACCTGAGCTGCAGTCACACCTTCACTTGCAGTGTCACTATACCCTCAATGCATAGCCAGTAGCAGGTTCATAAACCTGTCTGTGGGTGGCCCAGCCATTAGAGCAGGGGTTCTCGCAACACATTTTTTGGTGGCCTCAGAGTGCGGCTACCAACTCTTGCTGGTGGCTGCACTGACACTTTTTCCTAAAATTATTTATTTTTCCTAAAGTTAATTAGGTACTATGCACATATATACATGCAAATCATTGTCATTTATTGATGTAAGGTTTTGGGGTTTTTTTTGCAGACTCAGTAATAAAAATCATGCACAGTTATCTCTATTCTTTACTGGACCTAACAGAATAAAAACACAAAGGTGCTTGGCACGTTCTTGTCTTTCTAATTATTGTTTCTTTTTGTTTCTTTTTTGGTAAAAGTGGTTGTCTGTATAACAATCATGAAGTAAATTTAAAAATTCTTTGACATAATAGAAATCCTAATAATAATGAAAAACATATCTGGGTGGCTTGGGTCTGGGGAGCGGAGGGGAGGGGAGACACGGCTGCGGCTGCAGCTGGCTCAGGGCTCCTCCAGGCAGGTGGGAGGGCTCAGGGCTTTGGCCAGCCTGGAGCTCCTCTGGACGAGGGGGGGCGTGCTCTGGGCTTCAGCCAGCCCGGAGCTCCTCCGGGCAGGTGTGGGAGCCAAGATTTCACCCCAAGTTTCAACCCAAGCTACAGTTTTATGGACAAAGTAAGAATTTCTAAATATATTTAAGAATATTTAAATAGCTTCAAAACTGTAGGCTATTTAAAATAAACTATATAGTCCACTCTACCCTATTATTCATTTTCGATGGCACAATGGAGAGCCACCGGCACAGTGATGACACAGCATAGTTTCCTACTTGCCTCGTATCACAATACCACAAGCCATTATTTTCATTTCATTTAGTATCTGTGGCTGTGCTTTTACTTCATTGCATACGACACACGATTTCGGTTGCCATTACATTATATCTCTAAGCCTCCCATCTTGCAAGACTTTACACATGGGAGGCAGATCCTCAGCTGGTGTGTGGTAACTCCACTGAAGTCAACAGAACTAAGTCAATTTACACTGATGATCTGCCAATGTTTACCTTTAAGCATGTGAGAGTCCCATTGACTTCAATGGAATTGTTCATGTGTTTTAAACCTGTGAGAGAGTGTTTGCAGGCTCAGGGTCTATCTGCTCTTGATTGACATGAGATCATTTTAGAAAATGTCTTAAAACATTTTTGACAAAGTACTCTTCAACTTGTTTTCCTCTTGGAAAGGTAAGTATTTCCTGGCCAAATGTACAATAACGCCCATATTTACAGGAAAGGAATCCAAACCCTTTAGCTAATATGAGGGAAAACCTGCACTCCAAATACTGTAATCATTTTTTAAGGCAGTACAGATTTTTCTTTAACTCGCTTGACACTGAGCTATTTTCCATTAACATTAATGGGTTTGAAATTGTTGGTCTTTGATCTGTTTTGTAGAAGTGCGTCATGGCGATCAGCCTTTTAAATTAGTGATGCACAGTAATCATAAAATGGTTGATAAGATGTGACATTTTAATCATGCTTTACAGATCCTGCTAAAAACAGTCAGGAGTTGTCAGCATTTTTCTTCTTGCATACTTTTAAGTCGTATGTCTTATTTCTAACTGTGATTGCTATAATTATTATTGTTATTATTTGTATTGCGTTGGAAGAAATAACGTTATGCCTGGTGAACAAAAGACACTTTTCACTTAAGATGACTAGAATACAGTAGCTTTAAAATCTGTCGACTATAAAAACAAAGTGGCTGTATTAATGGCTATTGTGTGTAAATTCTGATGCAGAGGATTCTGTGTTTCTGGATGACGAGAAGGAAAGGGAAGAGTATGTCCTGAATGACCTTGGAGTTGTTTTCCATGGAGACATCAACAATGTAAAATCCAGAAGCTGGAATTATGGTCAGGTGAGCCCTTTAGAATTTCTCTGGCTGGTCCCAGTAGTACTCTGCAAGTTAGTTTAATTGATACCAGATTGTAGGCTCTCGAGTGCATTATCACTCCCTTTCTGGGAAACACAGTGGGCATCATTTTAATATTGCATGAAGTGGGTATATACCTAATCCAGACAAGTAATTCCATAATATCTAATATTTAAAGGACTAGTTTTAGGGGCATATTTCAGATATTGAGAGGCTGTCCATTGAGAATTAAAGGAATCAGCTGACATTTCTGAAATGCATCAATATTTCTTTTGCTGCATTTTTGCCTCTCCAGGATCAAGCCAGTTGGCTCAAGACAAAAGGGGGACAGTGATTTTAAGCATTTATTTTTAAAAAAAATTAAATAGTCCTCAAATGTTGTCTAATACAATTCCAGGCATAGTTTGTACCTTTTTCTCTTCTTCTCTTTAGTTCTAGCAGCTCAGTGGAAATGCCTTCTCTTCTCACACGTTATCCTGACACAGGCTGTGAGGGTTCTTAAAACTTTTTCCATTATGAGATTTGTTGATTTTTTTAAAAAATATTTCTGGATTATGGAACTTTCCTAACATAAACACTGATTTCCCTGTGAGAAGTTGCATGGGTTGATTTTCCTTCTCTTCCCCTGACTTCTCTCAAACACTTGGCTCTTTGTTCATGGACATGTTGGTTGTTCCATGTACCTGTGTCATGTGCTTTCATTTTTTCATTTAAACCTGGAGGCCCCAACTTTTTCCACTGCTGTGCACCATTTGCTGTCCTTTTCCTTTAGTGAAACACAGGTGGAACTTGGGTGAAAGTGATATCGAACATTGAAGTCCTACAGGCGTAATAAGCTACTGAAGGCAATGGAAAATCAGGCCTGAAAACTGTATTGATGGGCTCCTAATTTTCAACCAAATGAAGTGTACAACGTTTCTTAACTTCCACAATTGCCTCTCATTTGGGTATTGCCCAATATTCAGTCACTTTGAAAATGTTGTTTTCTAAATTTGTGGTTTAATTGAGGAATCATGGATGTTAGGAATGAAGAACATGGGTGGGAGTGAATTAAAGTGCAGGCAGGCACCGTGCATGGATAGGGCCATGGGGGGGGTGTGGGGAGGAAATGATGCCATATTTGCAGTATTGGTGGTTTGGTTTGTATATAGAGAATAGTGATATATTATATCCTACAAGCATGTTTCAAACACTGCTCATTTGGATGTTTTGCTCAAACTGAAAGTTTTAAAATGGGAGGTGAAGTTCCAAAACAGGACCACGAGGTGCTGGGGAGATTGTGGCTGCCATTTTAGAAATGGCCAGCACCATTCTGGAAAGTAAGAGAGTGGGTGGGGGCAGGAAAATTGGACACAGGAAGAATAATAGAGGGAATCCGACACTGGGAATAAAAGAGTATGGGGAAACAATTGTACCCTTCATCATGATGGTGATTTTCCCCTTGTATTGAGTAAATTGCTAGTCACTCAGAAAAGCCCAACCCAAAGGGAATACAGGGAAAATCAAGGGTTGGGAAGAGATCTGGGCAGAACGGGTGCTCTGCCCAGAAAACTAGGGAGCTCAGATTGACAGTGATTTTCATGCTTTTTGCAATAAAATTATGATCAGGTCCTCAAATTTGTCTACATACAAAGTTGCACCAGCTTAACTTAAGGCATGATTTTTTAAAAAAAATATGGATTTAGTTAAACTGGCACAACAGGCCTATAGACACTCTTATCTTGGTTTAACCAGCTTTTATTTCAGTTTAGCATATGTCAATTAGAAACAGGTTTAACTTAAACTGAAATAAGAGGGTCCGCACAGGGGTTTGCCCCAGTTTAACTAAACCAGTGCAAGTCTGTGTGGAGACAAGATCTCTGTGTCTGTCTATTCCTCCCCAGCTTTGTTTTCCATGTAGCAGTTCCATTACTTGCAGCTGTTTCTCCAAACTGCTCTGCCAAAACACCTCAGACTTGAATCCAGCTTTTAATTATTTTTGTCCTTGGCTGTCTCGAGCAGAGAGTGACTGCTTTATGCTGCATGGGCTAAATTCAGCAGTATTCTGTGGATACTTGGCACTGCTATGGCAATGCAAAAGCAGCCATTCACTTCCTAAATTTTGGAGATCTTCAGATTTTGTGTTTTGCTTCAGGTCCATCTTTTGCTAGACAGCAGTTGAATGCAAGCGATGAAGACATGACATTGAGTTTGATGCAGTTTTTGCAAAATAACTGGCATGGAAGGTGGAGAAGTATAGGTCTCTAGCCTGGTTTATGGCTGCTTTGTGCTGTTGCGAAGTCACCAGGGTATACTGACGGCCATTTATCCCTTCTCTTGTCCTTTTAACCCAGTTATTTCACAAACACTTACTATTGTTTGCAGTATTGTAGCCACATTGGTCCCAGGATAATAGACAAGGTGGGTGAGGTAACAGCTTTTATTGGACCAATAGAAGTTGGTCCAATAAAAGATATTACCTCACCCACCTTGTCTCTCTAAACACATACTATGTCAATTCATAGATTTTTAAGGCCAGGGGGGCCTTAACACCACCAGGATGACAGCAATTCCATGTTTCTCTCTCTCTCTCTCTCTGCCAGTGAGATTGAGATCTTCAGGCAGCAATAATTAAATGAGTACCTAATAAACTGTAGATGGCAAGGGTTTAACGCAGAATATACTTTACTGCATCAGGTCTTTGAGACCAGTGATGACTAGATGCAAAGAAAACAGATTTTTGACTTTGGTGAAAGTGACATGTCCTTAGTTCAAGCCAAGAGCAGAGTGAATTGTACCAGACAGGGCTGGTGCCAGCAGATGTGAGCCAGAGGATTTACATCCTCTGTTGTGAGGATGCTGTTTAGAAAGGGGTGTCTTTACAGAGCTATCCTTCGTCCAGGATTATTTCCAATACATACCAATAAGATTATCCAACTGATCTCCAGTGCGAACACTCAGTGGATGATATGACTCTGGCATTAGCTCCTTGGGTGGGGAAATGCTGACCTCCACTGAACTCAGTTTTGCACTCTAAGATCAGGGCCGGCTCCAGGCACCAGCTGAGCAAGCAGGTGCTTGGGGCGGCCAAGGGGAAGGGGCGGCACATCAGGCTCTTCGGCGGCAATTCGGCGGAGGGTCCCTGTCCCTCTCGGAGGGAAGGACCTGCCGCTGAATTCCCCCGAAGAAGAAAGAGGCACTGTGGAGCTGCCGCCGATCGCGATTGCGGCTTTTTTTTTTTTTT